TAGTTCAAATAGGTTGCGTAATTAAAGTGCCTTTTCAACCATATGTGGTAAATCCATTGAGTGTTGCTACTCAAAAGTCCGGTAAGAAACGACTTATTTTAGATATGAGTCAATTGAATAAACACATAAAGCGCGAAAAAATAAAATTTGAGGATTGGAAGTTAGCTATACAATATTTTGACAAAGATATATATCTGTTTAAGTTTGATTTAAAATCTGGTTATTTTCACTTAGACATATGCTCACAGCAACAGACTTTCTTAGGTTTTCAGTGGGAAGGTCAATTTTATTGCTATACTGTTTTAGCTTTCGGAATTACTACCGGTCCGTACATTTTTACTAAATGTTTGAGGCCACTAGTAAAATTTTGGCGTGGAAACGGTATAAAAGTTGTTTTGTATTTAGATGATGGATTTGGCATGAGTCCAGATGAAAATACATGTAATGAGCAATCGTCCTTCGTAAAAAGGTCTTTGATTGATGCTGGTTTCCTTATTAACGAGGAGAAGTCTGTTTTTAAACCTGTTACCGAGTTAGAATGGTTGGGAATAGTTTGGAACTCGAAAGAATACAAATTATCTATTACTCAACGTCGAGTTGACGATTTGATTTTCTCATTGAATGTAATTTTGGCTAAATTTCCCTATGTTACAGCTAGATCTTTAGCTCAGGTTGTAGGTAGAATTATTTCTATGACTCCCGTAATCGGAAATGTGGCTAGAATTATGTCAAAGTTCTGTTACATGGAAATTGAAAGTAGAATTGGGTGGGATATTCCCATTACAGGGTACAAACCCGTCGAGGTTTTATCAGAGTTAAAGTTCTGGTTAGAAAATGTCACCATGATTAACTATCGTAATTTATGTCATTACAGTAAATCTTCTGTTGTCATATACTCAGATGCTAGTAATATTGCCGCTGGTGCATACACCGTTGAATTAGAAAATAAGATTTTCCATAAGATGTGGACATGTAGTGAAACGGTACAAAGCTCCACATGGAGAGAGCTGAAAGCTATAGAGTTGGCCCTTTTTTCTTTTAAGAATAGTTTCACAGGAAAAACTATAAAGTGGTTTACTGACAATCAAAATTGTGTCAAAATTGTTAATTCGGGAAGTATGAAAGAAAATCTTCATGTTATAGCAAAATCTATTTTTTCATTTTGCATTCAAAAAGGAATATCAATTGACATTCAATGGATTCCCAGAAAAGAAAATGAAAAGGCTGATTATATCAGCAAAATGGTTGATTTCGAGGACTGGGGAGTCACACATATATTTTTCAATTTTTTAAATGATATGTGGGGTCCTTATTCGATTGACAGGTTTGCAAGTGTCGAAAATAGAAAAGTTATGAGATTTAACTCCTTATTTTGGCAACCTGATTCTGAAGCAGTTGATGCATTTTCTCAAGTTTGGACCAATGAAAATAATTGGCTAGTTCCACCAATTAATCTTGTGATACGATCGATTAAACACATTATAGCTTGTAAAGCTCGAGGCACGTTAGTTGTGCCTAAGTGGATTTCTGCTGCATTCTGGCCTTTGATATTCGATAAACATCTGATTTATCAAGATTACGTAAAAGATGTTATTGTGTTTAAAAATACTGATGGTATTTATAAGCAAGGTTCTAATAAGAATACGATATTCGGAATTGAACCGTTTGGTTCGCCAGTTTTGGCTGTTTTGCTAGATGCATCTTAGACATGGCCCTAATATATATAGATATATTTTAGCAGGCATGGTCTGTTTGTGACATGGCCCTAATATATATATAGATATATTGTAGCAGTCATGGTCTGTTTGTGACATGGCCCTAGTATATGTATATTGTAGCAGGCATGGGTGTTTATGTTGACATGGCCCTAGTATCGGTAATGATATTGTAGCAGGCTTGGTTTTTTATTTGACATGGCCCTAGTATCTATAATGATATTTTAGCAGGCATGGTAATTTGTTTTACAGTTTATGGCCCTAGTATCTATAAAGATATTGTAGCTGGCGTTGAAATATTTGAATATATATTATATTTTACTGTGTATAGAAATCTGAAATATGCTAATAATTCGTCCTCTGTATATGTATATAAAATGTTATTGCAATTTTACGTTTTTCAGATATTTTTTCAGTAGGACATTGGTCAGACTTTAATTCACAAGTTGCCTCTAATAATGATCTCAGCAGTTTGTTCAAACAGTTACCAGAATTCCTTCTTTCGTCCAAGGCTGCGAGTACTCAGAAGAAATATAGATATGCCTTCAATTCATGGTGTAAGTGGACTAGTCAATATTCTTTTTCACCATTGCCAGCATCTCATTTACATATTTCTTTATATTTAATTCATTTGTCTGAAACTGCAAAATCGGTTTCAAAATTAAATGATGCTTTTTACGCCATAAAATGGGCACATAAATTAGCTGGCGTTGCTGATCCCAGTGAAAATAATCTAGTTGCATCTGTTCTTGAAGGGGCTCATAGAAAAATAGGTCATTCAGTTGTCAAAAAAGAACCTATCACACCGCATATTTTGAAAAATATTGTATGTAAATATGCTAATAATACTTGTAATTTAAAAGATGTAAGAATAGCATGTATGTGTTTATTAGCCTATGCTGGCTTTTTAAGATTCTCCGAGTTAGCTAACTTGAGAAGGTCTGATATACAGTTTTCCCCTACTTACCTTACACTTCATTTAGTCAAGAGTAAAACTGATGTATATAGGGAAGGGAAAGATGTTGTCATTTCAAAAACAGGGAATATTACATGCCCGGTAGATGTACTTCAGCGTTATCTAAAGTTAGCTAACATTCCTGAAGAATCGAATGATTTTATTTTTAGATCTATTTGTTATTGTAAATCTTTGAATATATACAAACTTAGAAAGAGTAGTCATATTTCTTACACCAGAGCCAGAGAGTTATTGTTATCTGCACTTGACAGTTTAGGTCTTGATAAAAAACAGTTTGGCTTACATAGTTTGAGGTCAGGAGGAGCTACTGCCGCGGCAGAAGCTGGAATAGATGACCAGTTGTTTAAGAAACACGGGAGATGGAAAAGTGATAAAGCCAAAGATGGTTATGTTAAAGAGAGTATACTCAACAGATTGTCAGTATCTAAGAATTTAGGATTGTAATTTATATTGTTTGTCCCCCCTTTTTCTTTATGTCCCTTTCTTTATCAATCGAAGCTTTCTGTGCTGTCGGGGCGAGCTGATAACCAAAAACTGTGTTGAGTTTTTACTTTGTAAATGCTTTATGTTCGTTTGAAGTATTGAATAAGAACATAAATGTATTTATAAAGGTTACTCGGGAACACGTGTATTTGTTTACTTTTAACACGTGTGTTTAAATCAAAACATGTTTATGTTTAATTTGATTGGACCATCAGTAAGTTATTACCGGTTTAAGTTATATCAATCATGATAACTTCATGCTAGAATTTTAGCGCTAAAATTATAATAAGATATCTAGAATTGTCATTCGAGGTTCGCCTATCCGACAGAAAGGTTCGTTTTCCCACCCACCCACCCCTTTTATTAAGACTTCATAGGAATGTGAATCAGTATGTTATGTAGAAAATAGTTGATAAAATACATGTATGTAAATCGAAATGATTTTTTCTTCAACTTATAGAACATTTTTCTATTGTAGATTGTGTTTATATGTGATGGCAGCGGTCGATGACAGCAAATTGGACATTTGTTTATTGTTTATAATAAAAATAAGCTTTCTGTGCTGTCGGGGCGAGCTGATAACCAAAAACTGTGTTGAGTTTTTACTTTGTAAATGCTTTATGTTCGTTTGAAGTATTGAATAAGAACATAAATTAACTTATACAGTGCTTTTGTTAAAAATAAACTTATATCAGATGCTGATTATTCAAGTAATGAAATGTCTTCATCTTCCCTTCAGTGAATTCAGTCAAATTAAAAATACCACAAAATTGTAACTTTTCCATACAGAGGGTATATAATTACATAACAACAATATTGTCACTTAACTAGGTTGCATTTTTTAAAGGTACAATTATTACACAGGTAGTAGGTGATAACAAGTACATTGCCATCAAAAAATATTTATAACCCGTCCAAATCAAGTCTTTGAAAATTATCTTTAAATGTAGGGTCTGCCTTATAACATTATCTAACACTTCACAATCATATCCAATGGAAAAAGCAAAATTTTCCATTCTATTTTTCACAGAAAATGGTTTTCAATGTACATGTACTATAAACTTTATTCATGAACACTTTTTATATATATGTAAATTCCTTAAATAGCTTTAACTCTGAATAAATGCAATGACGATGAGTCTGGTGAAATTAATTACTAGTTGAAAAAAATTGAAATACTGATATTACATGTACATGTATGATCATGATGATGGAGCTATATATGTAATTATGCAATGAAAGATGGGATTCAACACTGGTATAATTGACCTCTGTCCTATTCTCCAATGGGTTACTTTATCATAAACATTTATTACTTATACATTTTTAAGTTAAATGGTCTGGTCCTATATTTAAAAATTTCAATATAAAGACAAATTATATGTTTACAAACAACTGGTTGTATATAAAGAAAAAAAATGTAAACAATGCATACCTTTGGCCTGAGAAACAAATGTTTCATTAGTCTTTAGCATTATGAGAAACAAGACAAAAATTTACATTTATTATCCATGATTAAATTCTTTTCTATTTTTCATCCAAAAGCAATGTGACATTTACAAATGTCACTCATGTAGAGAACATATATACTGTAAGTTCAGAAATTATTGCAGGTTTTTATTAATGTGAATAATATTTTTGGGTTAGTATCCGATAATAAGAACTTGCATAATATCTGATACTTATATCTATATATGCAGCTTTTTCTGAAATTGCAATAATTTAATTCACATTTTTGTCCATTCTTCAAAAATCGCAATAATAAATGTATGCAATAATTTCTGAATTAACGTACAGTATAAAATTAATTCATATAGTAATCTTACTTATGCTCTTGTCCATCATCTGTTGTAAGATCTGGAGTGGCAGAAAATTCTCTTTTCAAAAGGCTTGTGGTCAATTTCATCAGGCTCTGGAAAAATAAAAATGACACACATTTCATATATGATATAATTAAATGATTTAAAAGAAATGTGTGTTGTACATCAATGAGACAGCAACCTAACAAGAGGCACAACTGCTGGACTTGCATGTTCACATGTAAAAATACCAGCCTGCTAATGAGGATTTAAATCCACATTCCATCACTGTCTCTACAATTAAGATACTAGTTGTTCTTCGTGTTGTGGATCATTTTTTAAATAATGCTTAATTAATTTTAACCTATAGTTTTCAAAATAACAGCAAAATAAATAAAGAATGTGTCCATGGGACACAGATGATGCCACTTCTAGCATATAACATTATAAAGGGACATAACTCAAGAATCGTAAAAGTGATACCACCCAAATTCAAACTTAGTTTTGTGGTAATAAGCATTGTGTATAAGTTTCATAGAATTTGGTTGAGGCAAACTTAAGCTAGAGAATGGAAACAAAAAATTCAGAAATTTTTCCATTTGTAAAGGGGCATAACTTTAGAACGGTAAAAGTGACGCCACCCAAATTCAAACTTGTTCTGGGTTTTGTGGTATTATAAGCATTGTGTATAAGTTCCATCACATTTGGTTGAGGCAAACTAAAGTTAGAGAACGGAAACCAATTTTGCTGCTGCAGGGACATAAAAATACTGCAAAATTTGGAAAAAAATGTATATTTCAAGCCCCACTCCAAAACAGGTTGACAGTTTTTTTTCAAATTCGCTGGGTAGATATATCTTGTTGTCACATGGTTGTGCTGAACATTTTTGCAATTTACACTTTTATACTAGCTGTTATAGTTTTCAACATAAATACCCAAGAGAAAATGAAATCGGGATCCATCAGGATCCCAATGAAATCCCTGTGAAATTGGCGGGATAAGCCGGGATGGGCATCTGAAGACGGGATCCCATTCGGGATAAATATCTGAAACTGGGATCCCATTCGGGATATGTGTCTGAAGCCGGGATCCCATTCTAGTTGAAACGGGATAAATATCTGAAACTCGGATCCCATTTGGGATAACTGTCTGAAGCCGGGATCCCATTCTAGTTGAAACGGGAAAACATAAACCAGAATTTTGTTTGCCAAAATATGTAAGTGTTTGGTACACAGGAAGTTGTTGAGTGCTGAATCTGAAAACGCATATGGATCTATTCAATTAGCATGATTGTTTTAACAAATATGGTTTTTATCCATTTACAGCCATGTTAGTAGTTCAAATAATTATGACGTATGGCAAGGCTATTTTTTTTTTCCAGGACGCCTTCCTTCTTTGTCAAACATTTTTGAAATACACAATTATTTATAACATAAAGCAAAGGTTATTGGTGTTTATTAACAATGTGTATGACATCAAAGCTGTCAGGTGAAGCCAATCACTTAATGGGTCACTTAATTTCAGTTTGACAGTATTTCTAAGTCAGAAAAATGCCGAGATTTTCGCGATAAAAATGGCAGGGCGTCCGAGAAATGTCAACGGCTGTTTTGCCAGACACGCTGGGGCGTTTATGATTTTTTCCAAGTTCACATAAGTGCGTTTCTATTAATTGTCGTCCGGCATATATCAATGATAGGCTAATGATCGACATCGTAAAACGTTGGTTTCTCAACTTATGTAAAATGTAAAAAAAGTCATGACCACATGTTTTTTTTTTGTAATTGTACTGAACAGTCCGACCCTAGAAAATACTGTCCTAGATAATGCGGCCACTAGTTCATCCGCATGCACCCTGTGCCGATTAAATAAACTTTTTTTTTCTTATATTTAAAAACTGGCCAGTAATAAATATTTTTATGCGATACCCTTGATTTATTTTTATAATACCGTTACGGAGACAGATCAACTTCTGGCCGATATAATATGGGGCGAGATTGTCACCTCGACATTAGTGTACTGGTAAATACGTCATCAAAATCTGATTACGCTGATTTATGGAGGATCAAGATGAATCCGATGCCGATATTTTCAGATAAGTGCATTAATAATTTAATTTAACATGTGTATATGTGTATATAATGATTATAAATATAATTTATATAGGAACTATGATTTTTATGGTTTTTATTTGAGCAAATCAACACCAGAAAGTCTGAAAGCATAAACTGAAAATATATTAATTTATTTTAACATATAAAAACAATTTGTGACGAGTGAACCAACACCTTCTAACGGAAAAGCTGGTAGAGTAACCAAGATGGATACCGAAGTATGCTGCGGTTGTCTTAAAACCTCATGGAAATATAATATGTAGAGACAACAACATCTGGGTTACCGCAAGGTGATAGTTTTATTGAGTCTACATGTTTCGCCACTTACGGTGGCGTCTTCAGGACAATTTAAACATAGAAAACAAATACTGAAGTACATAAAATGCGGTGCATATGGGGTTACAAAGGTTAACAAGACGTAACGTCACAATAATTGATTTGACAACTTTAAAATGAAAGTGAAAGTAAAAGTTAATAATGCATTGTCAGTGTCTTTTCCAAAATGGACAACACCTCACAGGACATTCCGTACCATTCCAAAAGGCTTCACTCGGAAAGAGGTACTACTTCCAATTGCGTCGGGAATGTTGTAAGATGTATGGTAGTCGCACATGTAGGGCATGGTGGAAGTTGTGGTGAATTGGTTACATTTTGCGGTTGTGGTACACTATCCATGTTGCAAGTTTATTTCAACAATAATCGTGCGGTTCTGCGGTTCAGTACGTTTTGCGGTGGTCTTCTTTTTCGCGGGTTTTCCTTTTCTTCGAGGTATGGGCGGTTTCTTCAGTGAGGTTGGTCGTAGAATGGAACTGGTCGGTAGACATGAGGCTAACGGTTGTAACTACAACGCAGGACGGCTAAGGTGGATCGTGTGCGGATGCAGGGGTTCACAGAAAAATAAATAATTTGTGACGAGTGAACCAACACCAAGTGGCGAAACATGTAGACTCAATAAAACTATCACCTTGCGGTAACCCAGATGTTGTTGTCTCTACATATTATATATAAAAACAATGAATAATCTTGTTGTCACATAACAGGCATAACTGGTAGGTATGTAAAAATTTAATTGAGTTGTGTGAATGGTTATTTGGTGAAAATAATAAGTCGCTAGTTATTTTTATCTTCAGGGGATAAAAAAGGGGGAGGGTAATTAATTTGATTCCAAATGGCTTCCAATCTACTGTATAAACATGCAATAATATTTCTATTGAATTTTTTGCTTCAAAACGTCTTGAACAAATGATTCTTTGTGGATTTTTTTTATACTTTTAGGGGATTTAATGATTTGATTAAATGGAGCTGCCAATTTTGATAGTATAAACAGATTGCATGCAGATTCCAGTTACCTTTACTCAGCAATACTTGTTGGAAGTACAGACAGCAAATTTATTTACAGAAAGGAGGAGAACTTTACATGTATCCTTTTGCATAAATAAACCAGGAATCCCAGTGGTGTCTAGTACGTGTAATTGGAATTGGTGCATGTATATCCTGCTGGGATTTATTTTGGGATCCCGTTTTTTTTTCCGGGAATCCCAGGATATTCCAATCAAAATCCCACAATATCCCAGTATATTTCCACTGGGATTTATTTCAGGATCCCGATTTTTTTCCGGGAATCCCAGTATATTCCAATCAAAATCTCACAATATCCCAGTGGGATCCCAGTATATTTCCACCGGGATATACATCGGGATCCCGCTTCTTTTGTGGGAATCCCGAAATTTTATCCCAGTGGAATTAGGTGGGATCCCAATTGAAATCCCATCGGAATTCCAGCCGGAATTCCAGTGGGATCCCAGATTTATTTTCTCTTGGGTAGTCAACAACTGCTAAAATTGAAAAAAATAGATATTTCAGGGGCGACATTAACTTTCTATCACATACATGTCATACTAAAAATGAAATCCCCGAAACAATGTATTTCAAAAAATAGAAAAAGGAACTACATGTAATTGTCTTTTCCTGATCTCGTTCATTGTGAAGTATTCTACTATTTATAAAAACAAATGATTACATTTAAAAAAAAAAACTTAAAAAAAATTGTCACTTGTACTTGAAGTAAAGCACACCTAAGCACATATCCTTTACAGAAAAGTTTCCTTATTTAACCATGTTTCTCGTTTCTCGTTTTTTATATAGATTAGACCCTTGGTTTTCCTATTTGAATGGTTTTACACTAGTCATTTTTGGGGCCCTTTATAGCTTGCTGTTCAGTGTGAGTCAAGGCTAGGTGTTGAAGGCCATACTCAAATTGACCTATAATGGTTTCCTTTTACAAATTGTGACTTGGATGGAGAGTTGTCTCATTGGCACTCATACCACATCTTCTTATATCTAAATATATATACCAATAATTCTCTGCAATATCTGAATCATAATTCATAATTCATGCATATTATTCAATAATATTTTTTCGCTTCTATTTACAGAATTTGTTAATTTGTCTGATTCCTACAAAGACATGACTTAGCACTTATAATGTGAAAGGGCATCATATACTAAAATCTATCAATTTCCTTTCTAAATCTTATTCGTTATGATCCGTCATGATATTTATACAACTGTTTGTCATTTCTCAATTCTTTTCATGTGCAAATCTGATTCTTTACGATTACCAGAAAACATGAAAAGTTATTCTAAAGGTAATGGAAAAGCTTCCAAAGAATCTTGGAGAAAATCAACAATATATGGAGCTTCCTTTTGTCTGGATCGTAAATCACTTTCATTTCATAAACTTTGAAGTATCTTTTATCAATAATGTATGTTTCAAGACAAGAAATAGACGCTGGTAATCAATACCTAAAGTATCAATATATAATCGCATTTTCATTCAGTTCAAATGAATTTGTAAAGTGAGGATGAGTCCTGTAAAAACTGATTTCATTAAAACCATGCAAACCTGGGATAAACAGATAAACTGTTTTATAACTGAATTACATCAGGAAATAGCACCAAATGAATACGACTCAGTAATTTTACTTCGGTAAAATGAAGAC